TGGGGACCACTGTAGTAGATGATACAGCAAATCTCATACATTTCACATATCACATTATCTATAGACTGTTTTCTGTTGTAAAATATTGTCATTTAAAGTTACATTACATTACTAAACTCAGTAATCTGATTTCTTTCTAATTGTTCTCAAACTAATGTGGCAAAGACAAAAATGAAAGATAAAATATTGAACATCATTGAACATTGTCTTCCAAATACAAACATTCTAAAATCCATTGAATCACCTGGTGTTTTTGATAAATCACATTTCTCTTGGGCACCTATACTTTTCCATCGACTTTCCCTGGAGGTGTGATGTTAACTGTAGGCACTGCGCTGTACTTTGTCACAGGAACTACAACAGACTTACTGTTAAACAATCTCTCACGCATAAAATTACACGACCTAGTTAATGCTTTTCAGTCAGTCACTTTCAACATTTGTAGAAAATCAAACTCCTAAACAGTACTGTGAACGCTTGTACTGATTTCAAGCTCCTGAAAACATGCACACTATCTTTGTGTCATTGGGCAACATAGAAAGATAGATAGATAGAGCATCATTTTCCATACATTACGTGATGTGATATAAGTACATAGCTGAGGTGCTCAAAAGGAGGAGGTAAATGTTAAAAAGAAATATATTTTCCTACCCCTTATCCCAGAATTTACTAATGCTACATCTGCAGAATATAGAAATATTTGTACATGTGACAACAGCAGTTCAAGAATATGATACAGTAAATGATTCACAAAAGCACAAATCAAAACAACAACAACAAAGTAACAATATTCAGTTCAGTTAACTTGCCATGTACTGAAGATTTACATATTTTTAACATAAAAAACTTGAGCGAGATAGATAGATGGATGGAGAGACATATACATATATTAATCCACAAGTTGATTGGAGCAGAAGTGAAAGAAGTGACATGAAGCCAATTCCATGTGGTACAAAAGGATTCCTCTGCAGTCCACACAGCAACAGCACATAATGCATTGGATTCACTCACTGCATTAGTAACTGCACATACACACAGGTAGAGCAAAAGAGGGAGGCAGGCGAAATGGACAGGAGAAGGGGAATTAAAGCATGAAGGTGTAGCTAATCATTGAAGAGACTAGCCTGGACGGTTTCTGATTGTATTTTGTTTGTTCCAGTGGCAGTAAGTAAAGGTTTACCCACTATCTACAAGGTTAGTAGATCAATCTTAGCAACCTATCAGCAATGCCTGCTACTGCTGGCTGTTGTGTCCTTGTGCAAGACACTTTACCTTCTTGCTTGTACGAATATGTGAGTGTGTGATTTGATAACGGAGGCTGTAGGTGCAAAATGGTAGTCACAAATCTGCCCCAGTGCGTGGAAATGAGATAACCGTAAAGCAAATCTTCTAGTTAAATAATGGCTTAAATATAATTATCACAGACTATCACGGACTATATGTTGGAATGCTTTGCCTGAAAAGTTCCACAGTATGGTATTAACTTTACCTATCTCCATGGAGACCAGCAGGTGAAGCCACCAGGTCAAGTGATAGGACCTGTGGAGAGGAGATCCTGCTCACACTAATTCATATTTTTCAACTTTGACAACCAACGCTAAATTAAGTCTAGTGAAATAATTATTTTACTCTAGTTTTCATGCATTTTTTAAATGAAATTACATAATGGATTTAGTTGATCATGAAACTTTATTTTTAAAGTTAAGTGATGGTAATTATATTGAACTGCATTTTGGAACTCCAAGGTTTTTTCTCTAGCCTGATTCATCAGCCGGTTTCAGTTCGTAGAAACCGTCTGACCTCACAGCATTTGGATTCGTTCACGCGATGGTAGGCGGGTGCTTTTTTATTTAACCAATCGCTGCTATTTGGTCGTGACGTAAGTAATGCACTGCTAACAGGGCTAACTGGTATATTAAGCTTTTCCCAAATCCCGTAGGAAGAAGGGGGATAACGTCTTTCCCCCTGATAAAATTTTCTCTTTGTTCCAGCTTTAAATCCTCTATCTCGGGAATTGTTGCCAACACAGAATGTCTGTCTTCGGCTACATCCATCTTGACCGCTTTGTTTACTGTTGTGCTGTACCACAAAAGGGACCTAGTCATGGCTTCACAACTCTTCTGATTGGCCTGTGCACAGTCTACAACTTCTGGGGTTCTTGCAAACCGTCTAATATATTCTGATTCCTGACCTAGTCACTGGAGAGAAATTAAATTGAGCGGAGACACTAGGTGGCACCAGCCTAGCCACTATGAATGAGCATACATCAACCAGACTGGTATCATGATTTAAAGATGGGCTATGTAACTGAAGGAGTTAGTCACCTGATTGTCTGTATGGATATGTTGGGCTATATGTTGGAATGCTTGCTTGAAATGTTCCAAAGTATGGCATTACATTTACCTACCTACCTTATCTCCATGGAGACCAGGCAGGTGAAGCCACCAGGCTAAGTGACAGAACCTGCTCACATTAATTCATATTTTTCATTTTTTACTTGTGTTTTTGCAATAAAAACACCTGAAACTGAATAACTGCACAGTTTAATATTTAAGGGAACATTACAGGCATTGCAATAACATCTTCATTAATCTAAATAAATTACAAATGTTTGGATCAGATTAAAAGTCTATACAATTCCCCTATTCCCAATGTTGTGCTGTAAAACTGACCATAACACAGTTGCATGTGTGGATCCATAATATGTGAAACCATTGTTAGCTCTGCAGTGTGGTATTTCAGTCCAGATCTATAAAGCTTTAAGGGTCTCATTGATCTAACTGTGCATCCAAACACTAGTCTACAGTACAAACAGACTGCAGGCTCATATTGACCACTCTGTACCAACCTCTCAATGACATTTCCTTTTGCATGTGTAGCCCAAGATCTGTGCTGGGTCCTTGGGTGCTGCTCCTGCCCCAACATCAGTGAAGAATGGGTCAAATGTAGAGAACAAATGGCTCTCTGGGGACAAAAAAAAGTGCTTTAACATATAACAAATGTAGATGTTTTTTTGGTGGGATAGTACCTGTGGTAAATATTATCCTTAATTTTAGGCAAAGCAGTAACATTTCCATGGAGTAAAATGCAATTGTAGTTCCATTATTGCAATATCTGTGAGCATGTCTGAGGTGTTCGTGCCACAAGAGCAGCTGATACAGACCACAGTGTGTACAGTATAGATCTATGGGGAATAGCAGGATTGGCTGTTTATGGACTGACAGAGGAGGGGCCAGAGCCAGATGTTACATTACATTACATATTCAAATGCATAATGGGAATAGAATAGCCTGTTTCACACACAGAGCTGCAGCAGGGACAGGGAGAATGCATCATATCATCTATTTCTGCACTGGCGCACCATTTTTCCGGCTATTTTCTTAGTATCTTCTTCACTCCTACACTGCATCCTACAGGAGTTACGTTTGGACTTTGGCTTTCTAAAGTAAAGATTTTTCTGGAATTTTCTGAATTTGAGAAGCACAACGCAAGCATTTAGTTTTGACCCAATGAGGACTAAATGGGACAGAGATCCTGGACCAGCAAAGGATGGCAAATTTGTCCAGGAAGATTGTCTCAGGGGTAAGATACTGAAGAGGGTTGAGGGGTTGAGATGTAGGGTTATGAGTTCATTTTAATGGTGCTCTTGACAACTTTTCTGATGAATGGTGCACCCCTTGTTTGTCTCCATGGAAATGTTGTTGCTTTGTCTGTATCTCAATGTCAAAACCTGTACATCTGCGTATGAAAATCCAGTTTGGTCCTTTTTAAAACATAGTAGTCATAGAGGTCCATGTTGTAAAATTGAATCAAGCTTCCATGTCCTCCTTACACTCTGTTAAATTGGACAGGTACTTGCCCCGGTAAAAAGAAACAACATAAAAAACACACAGATGAAGATGGACAAACAACTACTATTGTTAAATTAAACTATTACTATTATAATCATCACTCAAAATCCAATGGTCATAGCAGCAACTGGCAATAGTCTATAGTCGATGTAAGTAGGGGACTTAGTCTGTACACTTACAGTTGGGTGTGCGTGCCTCTCTGGGCCCTCGACTCCACAGTCCTGGACACATTTACACAGAGGTTTGTGTAAGAGGCTTACACACAGCTGTTTGTTGATGTTTGTAGTGAGCACATGTGCAGCTCTGAACACGTGCGAGAGGCGGGGTCTGTGTGGGGGGGCGTGGTAATGAATTAAGAGTTTGGATTTGATAAACTGAGAACGTAAGGTGTGAGCGTTCATAGACTTGCAGTTTTTAGACTCAGAAATGATCAGGCCTATTTATGACTGAGAACCAATTCAGATTAGTTTCAATCGGGGTCTGACACGTAGATTTCAAAAATGTGATTGTGAAAATGAGTTTGGCACATCTGGTTTATGTAGAATTAACTTAACTGTCGAGTTATAACAGGGTATTAAAGCGCTGTATGTTTAGGTTATGCAGCATGGTGACACGTGCACGGCCCCAAACAGCTCCCTGATATTTCACCAGAATGAAAAGGTGAACTGAGGACACACAAAAGCACTTTCGGGTCATTATGAAAAGTAAATTTGATTATATGAGAAAATGTCAGAAGTTTACGCAGCTTCGCCATGTTTGAAGGCTATTCTTTTCTTTTTTTTTTTTTCTTTTTTTTTGAAACAGACAGTGAGTTGCGCTCCAAAAAAAGAAAAAAAAAAAGCTTATACTGAGAGAATGAGACTGAAATGAGATGTAGTTTAGAGCGCTTCTTTCTGAACTCCCCTTGGGATGCAGGAGGCACTGTCTGTGACCTCGTGGAGCGCGCGGACTCTTGGGAAACTTCCTCTGTGTGAGGTCACTAGAGGCGCGTGCGACGCAACAGATGCCGTTGGGAGAAATAAGCCGTTAATACCCGGCCCCGCGGAGGGTTACTCCACACTGCAGGGGACTCACCGCGACTCCTCTGTGCGTCACTTGCGCTGACCTGCGTGGCTCCGTGGGACAATCACACATTGCATCACGGACACTCCCCGTGCACCCCCCGTGCACCCGTCTGTAGTGTGGGCCTTTCTCCAGTCCCGGGACCTGTGCGCGCGCCCTGGAGCTGTCCCATGGCGGTGCGGTCCGAGTTGGACTTACCGGAGTCAGGTGAATGAGGCTCGTAACTGACCCACGACGGGACACGGCTGAAGGAGCGCCCAAACCGCCATGCCGCCCAAGAAAAAGGTAACACATACACACAAATTTACTTAAAATCAGACGTGGTCTACTTGGACCTAAAGATGTGTATATGCGCGTAATGGAGAAGAGGAATGCCACCATCTGTTGCACTGCGTGATAATCCGTGTGTGAGGAGGCCTCTTCACTCACCCCCGTGTGCGCTGTGGGCTCACTGACACCTGCATTTTTTTATATATATATAAAAGTGTGGCAGTTCAGTCAGGGCAATACCTGACTACTTTGGTGTTCTGTTGTCCCATGAAGATGAATCTGGTTTTAGGCAGTCCGCCTTAATTATTAAGGACCCTCTTCACTCAAACTGAGAAGTCAACCTCTATGCTAATTGAGTATCATGCAGCATAATTATTCACTGATAATGACTGGATAACAGGCTACGTAGACATACACGCCTATTTCTTGTTATGTGGGTAAAAAAGTTTAAGTCAATTTTAAGAGAAGTTGCTCTCCATAGTGCCATTCTGTGGGACCCTTGTTCTTGTTTGATAGTTTTTGTTATTTAGCCCATCCCAAAGTATAGCAGCAGACCTACATTATTATGCAAAGGTAAACTGTTATTCTTATAGAAGTGCAGGCTACTTTTCTATGAGCAAACCATTTCCTCCCTTCTGTCCTATTATTGTCTTACTGTGTTCATCCTTGATAAACCCATGCACTTTTATAGCATGTCCGTCCATATTTATTTTAGCGTTTAAGCGTAGGTCGTTGCTTATGAGTAAGAGCTGATGATAAAGTGGGAGTGAGGAAGCACACTGGACGACCCACTGTCCTGTGCTGGAGCAGGGCTGGTTCTCTGCTGCTCCTGCTCAGAATAGGAAAAAGCCTCTTAGCTTCTGTTAGTGGGGTAATACCTCCATCTACCTGCTCTTTCTGTGGAAGTGGGGCAATTAGCCGTCATGGTAAAAACTCAACATATAATCATGCTTTAAAACAGTATAAACTAAATATGCAGTGTACAACTTCTCTGGTTGTTGAGTGACAGTATGAGCTTTAATATTAGGTATTATTTTGTGAAATTGTGTAGTTCACTTGCTCCAATACACACTTTGATCTGAGGGCAGGATACTATTAAAAGATATCAGAATGGTACCAGAAAAAAAAAAAAAAACTACTGGTACCGGAAAAAAAAACCAAATAGTTTGATACCTGTTTTTGATGCTTCATGAGACAGCGCTAAAGTTACAGTTACAGCTACAGTTTTTCCTTCCCAGAAAAAGTTGTTAATTGAATTTTTAACATGATTAACAGAGGAATAGTTAAGAAAAAAGTAGCCAAATCATTCAGGTACCAGTACCAAAAACAGGCTTTGTTCAAGTACTGAAACCTGATCAAATTTTAAAGTTTCCAGCCCAAAGACTGGCCTCACTGACCTAACTAATGTAGTAATGTAATAACTGTGCATAACTGGCCTTGCATTATAACTTTGTAATGTTACTGACACCATTTTGTCGATTTGGAAAGGTTGTCTAGTTTACTTTGGTCACGTAAAGACTATACTGAACAAAACTAAGTGTCCTTAATTGTTGTATTATAAAACAGTTTTGCCATAGTGACTTCACTTGAACTCAAATTTAACTTGGCCCAAAACTTTTCCAGCAGTTTAAGTCATTCTGAAGAAGTTCATAGTTGCATAATAGTGATAATATCTCCTGTCTCTGACTCTTGGTTAAATACCTGGGCCATGCTTGGTCTTCGAGATTTATTTTGTCCTAAATTGTACTCAAAGTGGAGCCTATAAACATGAAACTGAAAGCCATGAATTGCAATTATTCTTGCCAACAGATCAGATTGTGCATATTTCATAATGACAGAGGGGAACAACTGTATTATATAACGTCCTCTTTGTTTATTGTCACTATAGCGAGTGTCATTACCAGAGCAGGAGGAGCGGAGGACTTAAGATGCACTGATAGTTTGAATGCAGTGGGTGTGATACCATTCCTGAGAGGAGGAGGCAGCGTTTGTGTCTCTGGCTCTAAATCCTGGATTGACGCATGCCATGTTAATCTGCTTATGCTCACAGACAATCATGACCCATAGACAGGCAGAGACACATTTGGCCTCTGCTGCGGATGATATTTTCCAATTTTAGATTCGGCCGCTCCGATGTTATCTGTATTTTGTGGCTTTCACAGGAGTGACAGATGCAGCACTAGACATGGAACTGTGGCCTATGTAATATGTTCTTCATGTGTGATAAACCAAAGTAAAGTATCTGAACTTAAATCCAGGAAGTGATTTGATAACTCAGGTCAAAGGTCAAACACTTTTATACATGATATGTTTACAGTGTTATGTAATTCTAGGTACTATTGGGAGTTCAAAATATCAAAATAATACAATGTGTATTTCAAAAGTCAAAATCATAATGTTATAATTTTTTGGTTGACTAAGATATGTTCTGTGGATTAATGCATTGACTAATAGGTGTGGCAGTGGGTCTCAAATTTGTTAGGATCTTGCTCAAAAACTAGGTATACAGAGAAGTAAGAGTAAACAGCATCTTCCTAAGTGAAAAAGCTGCCCACGCACAGCCAAAACTCCAGCTAACTCACTCCATGCCTTCTCCTTTTTGCTGTGGTTCATATTAATCTTGATAATCCTTATAAAATATAAAAGTAGCCTAACTACACCATCAACAGATTAATTGACTAAATAACTAAGGGCATACAGCCCCAACAGCAAAGATGTGCTATTTTTCTAAAGATGCGTATGTAACTTTCCCAGTGGCGCATTAAACTTGCCCATCTTGCTTTTGCTGAAATAAATGAAAAACATGCGTTCTGTTGCACAGGGTTGCCTCTCCACAGATCTAACCTGTAAATCTGCAAAATCATTCACATTATAAAATGTGGCAGTAGATCTGTTAAATCCTCACAAAATTCTTTTCATAGACCCACCATGTGCCCAGTGCACCTGTTTTGGCCGAGCAGTGAATGATGCATGTGTCATGTGGAGCTTGCACATGGCTGTACAGACACTGCCAAACTTTAGAAAACTGTATTTTTTTGTTTTCAGTTGCATTTTATGTCACAAAAACAATTACAAACAACTCATTGTGATCAGTTATAGTGTTTTAGTAGTATAGCATATAGATTTTAACCTATAGTTTGCCTCTGAGATTTCCCAAATGAGATGTTACTGGCAGCTGGTACCACTCCAACATGGCCGCCGTAGAATGAGGAACACACATTTGATCTCACCATGAAACAGTCCCACAAACCCTGAGTCCTGCTCCTCCAGACTGCTGCAGAGCTCAGTGTCAGCCGCCCACTCTGTACAGACCAGACGCTCTCTCTCTTAGACTTCATAATGTTGGAGACACTTCTAACATGACCAGTACTCACTCCACTACAGGATTTGATGAAAGCCATGCATATACGACGCAGGGTAAGATACAATCGAGATCATTCAGATGTAATAGAATCAACATGACTTCAAGTTTTTAAGATGTTTGGAAGATCTGTTGTGTTATTTTGATTTATGTGCGTGATGTTAAAATTTTGTAATGAAGTCTAGCATGAGATAAACTTAAACATGCTCTATAACTTTTTTGGTCAGTGGTCGTCCTTGTCTCGGTGGAAATGGTCAAACAGTCATATGTGTTTTTATCGCTAAGAATTTTGGTTTAGTGGCTTGTGATTTAGTACATTTTTAGATTTTTACAAGTCATAACAACTGAATACTTTATGTAGATGGAAATGTGAATGTTTACTGTGCTTGATTTATTCACTGTAATCTGACATGGGATGGACATTTTTATCTTTAATTCAAACTTAAATGGTCAAACTTCAGAGGTGGCAGTGAGTCAGCACAGAGCTGCCTTTGGGCAAGACACTTATCTTGGTCTTGTCACTTTGCCTTACCTAAATTGTAGTGGGTGTGTGTTACTAAAATAATCCGCTTTATACACATTTTTTTCCTCCTTTGGGTTGATCCGGTGTTCTGTCAAAATGGGCTGACCCTTCGAATTGAGCTACCCGCAGCCTAAATCGAGAGTGATATCTATCGATTCACGCTACCCTATCGAAATAAGCTACTTTACATTTTTCCATGTACAGTTGTATAGATTCAATAAAGCTGACCTCCCCAGTTTTACAACATTTCTTTGGATTAGAAACAGTAGATCTGATGCTGTTTGCACATGGTGATCACACTATATACCTTAGTTATGTACAATTTCAACTCATTTATATGAATATAGGTAGGCATTTCATTTTGACAGTCATATTATGCTCAAATAGGGCTCCGACTAAAGGGTGCACATATTGACAAGACAATTCAGCCACTGAATAATGCTCCCACTGTAGAATCACCATTATTCACTCATTTATATGAATTTGGGTAGAGGTAGCTCATTTCGACAGGTCTATATCTTCTGTGAAATGGCTCCCACTATATAAGAGAAAGAAATGACTAGAAACACTAAAATCTTTATATTAAATAAAAATCATAGGCTACAGTGTGAATTTCCTCTTATAATATAGTGATATTTTATTTATACAGGGCCTTTCTAAACAAAGTTACAGCGTTTTTTACACATAGTAACAAAATAAAATACGATGTAATGAAAATTATAACGATAAAATCAAATATTAAATCCAAACTATTCAATCATCTAACATTGGTATTCTCCTGTAAATCTAACATGCACACAATACACTTTTAAAATGTTACTTGTTATTCCACTTCTGCCTCAGGAGCTCAAATCGACAGCATTTAAACTCTAACAGCTCTTGGTGGGTGTGCATGTGCAGTAACACTTGGTATCTCAAATCGATGGGTATCTCAAATCGACAGGACACTGGAACTTTCATTGTTGCAGTTCTGGCTTAGCCCTGGTTTAGGCCTGTTATAGATCCTTGGTATAATTCAAGTTATATACAGTAGATCTGGTTTATATGTGGTAGCAATTGGAAGGCTAAATAATTCCTTAGGTGTGAAACATTTGCGAACCACTGGCATAAGGTGTTGTTATTAAACCCTCT